CACTACCTATTCAGTACAGTACTTGAATTTCTAACTGGATCGATAATATACATAAGTGACCCTAAAAATTCTACCAGAGAAGTGGCTGGATACGAAATTAACTCAAAAAATCAACAAAACAAAACAAACAGAAAAAAAAAAACACCAAAATTCCAGTAGTCCTTCTTTATACAAACAATAAATGAGCAGAGAAAGAAATTAGGGAAATAATACCCTTCACGATAGCCACAAATAATATAAAATACCTTGCTGTAACTCTAACCAAGCAAGTGAAAGACCTGTATGACATGAACTCCAAGTCTCTGAAGAAACTAAATTGAAGAACATAGATTAAAAGATCTCTCATGGTTATGGATCAGTAAGATTAACATAGTAGAAAATGTCCATTTTACCAAAAGCAGGCTACAGATTCGATGCAATTCCTATCAAAATAAAAATTCTTTATAAACTTTAAGAGAACAACTCTCAACCTCATATGCAAAGATAAAAAACCCAGGATAATGAAACTATCTTGTACAATAAAAAATATTTTGGAGGTATCACCATCCCTGATTTCAAGATGCACTACAGAACAAGAGTAATAATATTGCATTCTATTAGGCTAAAAACAGGTTGATCAAAAGAATAGAATTGAAGACTCAGAAATAAACCCAGACTCCTACTGTCGCTTGGTTTGGGACAAAGAAGCCAAAACCATGCAATGGAAAAGGGAGAGCACTTTCAACAAATGGTGCTGATTGTCATGTATGTCTGCATGTAGAAGAATGCAAATAGATCCATAAATATCACCCTGCACAAAACTCAAGTCCAAATGGATCAAAGACCTAAGAAGAAAACCATGTACACCAAATCTAATAGAAGAGAAAGTGGGAAATAGCCTTGAACACGTTGGTACAGGAGACAATATCTTGAACGGAAAAACCAACAGCTCAGGCACAGATCAACAATCAAAAAATGGAACCTCATGAAACTGAAAAGCTTCTGCAAGGCAAAGAACACTATCAAAAGGATACAACAACAGCCTATAGAATGTCAAAAGATCTTCACTTACCCTACATCTGATAGAGGGATAATATCCAAAATATATAAAGAAGTCAAAAAATTAAACATCAATGAACCAAATAACCCAATTAAAAATGGGATACATTTTTGATATTAGCTCTCTATCAGATGTAGGGTTGGTAAAGATCTTTTTCCAATCTGTGGATTGTTGTTTTGTACTATTGACAGTGTCCTTTGCCTTACGGAAGCTTTTCAATTGTATGAGGTCCCATTTGTCAATTGTTGATCTTAGAGTATGAGCCATTGGTGTTCTGTTTAGGAAATTTTCCCCTGTTCCAATGTGTTCAAGGTTCTTTCCCACTTGGTTTTTTTATATATATATACTATTAGATCCAATGTATCTTGTATTATGTGGAGGTCTTGATCCACTTGGACTTGAACTTTGTACAAGGAGAATGGGGCCACAACCCATCTCAAAAATTTTAATCCAGAATTGCTTCTGTCAAAAGAAAATACAGAAGTAAAGAGTGGAGCAGAAACTGAAGGAAATGCCATCCAGAAACTACCCCATCTAGGGATCCATCCTATCTGCAGACACCAAACTCAGACACTATTGCTGATGCCAAGAAGTACTTGCTGACAGGAGCCTGGTATAGCTGTCTCCTGAGAGGCTCTGCCAGAGCCCAACCAATAAAGATGAGAATGCACACAGCCACCATTAGACTGCACAATGGGACCACAATGGAGAAGTTAGGGGAAGGACTGAAGGAGCTGAAGGGGATTGCAACCCTATAGGAAGAACAACAATATCAACTAACCAGACCCCTTGAAGATCCCAGGGACTAAATCACCAACCCAAGAGTACACATGGAGGGACCCATGGCTCCAGCTGCTTATGTAGTAGAGAATGGCCTTATCTGGCATCAATGGGAGGAAAGTCCCTTGGTCCTGTGGAGACTTGTTGCCCAGCATAGGGAGATGCTAGAGGGATGAGGCAGGAGTGGGTTGGGTGGGGTGGGTGGGGAGTACCCTTTTAGAGGCAAAGGGGAGGGGAGATGGATGAAAGGTTTTGGGAGGAAAGTCTGGGAAGGGAGACAACAATTAAAATTTAGATAAATAAAATAATCAATTAATTTTAAAAAGATTCAGATATTGAAGACATGATAGAAAAAATGGACAACTTAGTCAAAAAAAATGTCAAATCTAAAAAACAACCCAAACATAAAACATATAGGAAATCTGAGACACTATGAAATGACAAAATCTGTGAGTAAAAGGTATAAAGGAAGGAGAGGAAACACATGTCAAAGGCACAGAAAATATTTTTAATGAAATCATAGAAGAAAATGTCCCCATTCTAAAAAAGGAGGTGCCTATCAAGGTACAAGAAGCATACAGAATACCAAATAGAAAGAGGCAAAAAAAAAAACCTCTCCATAACACATAATAATCAAAACACTAATACAGAATGTAGAAAGAATATTAAAAACTGCAAAGGAAAAAGAACAAGTTACATATGAAAACAAACCCTTTACAGTAACATCTGACTACTCAATGGAGACTTTGAAAGCCAGAAGGGCCTGGACAGATGTTCTACCATCACTAAGAGACCAGAGATGCCAACCTAGACCACTATATCTAAGAAATTCTCAGTCACAGTCAATGGAGAAAAAAAATAGTTTATGACTTTAAAATGTTAAGCAATTTCTGTCCATTCATACATCTGTACAGAAAGTATTAGTAGGAAAACTTTGTCCTAAAGAGAAGACTAACTATACCTAACAGGATACAAGCAATAAATAATTTCAGAACTGTTTCTTTAAAATTTTGGGAAAAGGCCACACCACATCATCAAAATAATAGAAATTAGTAAACGTTGTTCATGAATATCTCTCAATATTAATGATTTCAGTAGCCAAATAAATAGATATAAGCTAACAGATTGGGTTAGAAAACATAATCCATCTTCTGCTATATCCAAGAAACATACCTCACCCACAAGGACATATCACTTTAGGGACGAAAGATGGAAAACATTGTTACAACAAACATCTAAGAAATAACCAGGTGTGGCCATTTTAATATCTGTTAAACCAGACCTCCAACAAAACCTAATAAACTAATCAAAAGAAACTGGGAAGAACAATACATACTCGTCAAAGGGAACAAAATCTACAAAGAAAAATATAGTAATTCTAAACATTTATGCACCAAATACAAGGGCACCCACTTTGCAAAAGAAACACTACTGCAGATAAAATCACATATCGACTCTCATACAGTTATAGAGGTGACTTCAATACCCGGTTCTTGCCAAAGAACAAGTCATGCAGACAAAAATCAAACAGAGAAAATGCTACACTTAATTATTGTCTTAAATTAAATGAACTTAACAGCGCTTACAAACATTCCACCCAAACATTAAAGAATGTATTTTTTTTCACAGTAGCCCATAGATCTTTCTCCAAAATTGACTACATGTTAGGATACAAAGTCTCAACAGTTATAAAAAATTGAAATAACATTTTGCAGTTTATCTGACCATCATGAGTTAAAGCTGGATGTTGACGACAATAGAAATAGCAGAAAGTATACCAAGTCATAGAAGCTGAAAAACTACCTACTAAATGAAAATTGGGTCAAGATAGAAATCAATAAGAGAATTAAAAATTTAATTGAATTAAAAATTAGAACTGAATGAAAATGGAAACATCACATACCTGAACAAATAGGACACAGTGAGATGAATTCTAAGAAGCAAGTTTAAAGCACTAAGTGTCAACATAAAACACTGGCGACACACTTGAAATCTTTAGAAAAACAAGAAGAAATAATTCTCAAAAAGAGTAGACGTGGAAAAGATGATCTTAGGGCTAAAACCAACGAACTTGAAGCAAATGAGTAGCAGCAGCAGCAACAATGACAACACCAAAATAAAATAATCTAATGGAATGAAGGCTTGGTTCATTGTCCAAGCCAATAGGATTCACAAATCTTTAGATAAATTAACCAAAAGATGGAGGGAAAGATACAAATAGAGATTTTTTAAAAAAGAGGCATTATAACACACAGTGAGGAAATTCAGAAAATGGTAAAGACACATTTCAAAACTCTGTTCTCCACAAAACTGGAAATAGATTGATTTCTTGGCATATATGATTTTCCAAAATTAAATAATTTCAATAGATTTGTAACAACTTACTGAAACAGAAGCAGTAACTAAAAAATCTCCCACCATCCCCCGCCCATGACACACGCACACCAAAAAAAAAAAAATCCCAAAGCTAGTCAGTACAATTATACAAGACCATTCAAGAACTACTCCTCAAATTATCTCACAAAATAATAAGTGGTGTCTTCAGCAATAAGACCTTACCATTAGGATGTGGAGAGTAACCAATAGATTTGACCATACTAGCCTGTGATATTTTGAGGGCTATATGGAATTCCTTTTTGCCAATGACTCAATAAGATATAATCCATAAAAGTTTTTAATTAGAAAAGTAATAAGTTACCTAAATTTCTTCAGATTATGAAAAGTAGGAATATGGTAGTTCTCATCTTTATTGAATGATAAATGTGTATTATTCTGACTTATTATAGATTGCTGGGATCTTCTATCAGTTGTTTATAGTACACATTGGAATCTCTCACACCAGGATGCTAAATATTACTATGTGGTAAATTTCATTAAATTTTAAGGATTATTTTGACAACTCATTAGAGTTTTCTGTTCTGTGTTGGTTGAAGTTGAAGAAGTGAAGCTGTTGAAATAGAGCTGCTACTCTCTCTCATCTGATGGGTTTAGCCTCTTCTTTCTCACTGGGTGGTTTAGCCTCTTCTTTCTCACTGAGTGGTTTAGCCTCTTCTTTCTCACTGGGTGGTTTAGCCTCTTCTTTCTCACTGAGTGGTTTAGCCTCTTCTTTCTCACTGGGTGGTTTAGCCTCTTCTTTCCCACTGGATAGTTTAGCCTCTTCTTTCTTGTCTGATTTAGTCTCTTATTCCTGACCTGGGGGTTTAGGCTCTTCATCCGCACCTGGAGGTTTAGCCTCTTCTCCTCCACCTGGGGGTTTAGCCTCTTCTTCCACACCTGGGGGTTTAGCCTGTTCGTCCACACCTGGGGGTTTAGCCTCTTCATCTGCGGGTTTAGTTTCCTCACCTGTGGTTTTAGCTTTTTTGGCCCCAAACAAGTAAAACAATATAAGTAAAACTACAACCACAATAATAACAGGTAATAGCCAACCTATGGTGTTATTAGATTTTCTTGAGCCTGTCTTTACCTCATCTTCAAAGTCTTTGTTTCCAGGAGAACCACTGTCAATACTTCCTCCACTGCCATTTTCCTGGCAGTGTGGTGGGCTCCAGCCATAATCACAATGGCAGTGCTGTTTATTATTGCAGACTCCTTTCATGTTGCAGGTCTGTGGTGAACAATCACTTGTCCAACTTGGCTTATCAACACATTTTCTGCCAATGCACACATGCTGTGGACCACAGTTTGTGCCATCTTTTATGTCACCCAGGTCAGCGATTTTCATCCCGAAATGGTAGTCAGTACTCCAGCAGGAAGCATCATTGAAACGAGTCCAGTGAACAGTATAATGACTCTTCAGGGTAGGAAGTTTTTTCACTCTGTCACACTGAATCCTCCCACAGAGGATATCTGAGGTCTCACATCTCACATACTCATTGTCCATGAGTCCACAGTTACCAAAACGATCACCACGAGTATTGAGTTCCTTATAGCAACTGTCAGATGCTTTCATGGCATGCTGGCCAAAAACTCTCTTGCAGTGGTCATCGTGGCTGTTACATCTTTTTTCATAGCAGTAGCCATTACCACTGCAAGAGGTCCCAGCCTGTACAAACAAATCTTCAGGGCACTCATGTGAAGTTCCATTGCACCATTCTGGAAGGTCACATTCATTCTCACGAGGTCTACACAGAGTGCCAGATGGCTCGAATTGGCATTTGCGGTTACAACATGGTCCTTTACTACATTTAGCTTTCGACCTCAGAGTACAGCTAGGCATACAACAAAAATCTTCTTTACAGCTTTTAAAGGATCCACAGTCACACTCTTCGCCTTCTTCGACTATATTGTTCCCACAGAACTTCAGTGGGAAGCTATCCGAAGAGTTGGGCTCCCTGTGCATGCAGCTTTTTTTGCCTATGTTTGCCCACAAGAATTCGTAACTACAGTTGCTGAGTTTTATGGAACTCTTCATTGTAGCAGACATCAAACATGGTTCCCCTCCACAAGAGCAAAACATCCCATCATGTGGCATGCCCACATTGTGACCTATCTCATGTGCCACAATATGTCCAATGCTAAGGGAATCCTCTCTAAAGAGGCTATCAACTCCACAATCAAATGACTTATTACATACAGTTCCTACATAGGCTATGCCAAAATAGTCACCAAAAGTATGATTCACAAAGAGATGTGCAATATCATATGGTATCTGAGAATTAAGGTTTGTTCTCTTCCATGTACAAAATGCTGGCAAGAGAGCAAATATATCTTGCACCGGTATGGGATTTTCGTCAGTCCAGATAGTAAGTCCAAGTAAATATACATGAATATCCACTGAAGTTAAAAAGAGATTTACCATATTCATAATCTCAAATACATCTTTTATCACAAGAGAAGTATTACGGTTTCGATAAAGGAATAGTCCATGGTCTATAACCAATGCCAGTTTAATATACAATCCATGAGACCACCATGTCTCATCAAAGACTTGCATTAGAGTGGACTTACCATTTTCTTGAAGTCTCACTTGCCCTGCTATTTCTTCATCTGTTAGTCCACATCTCTTGGGGTGTAATTGAGTTTCCTCACTGTCTATCTTGTAAAGTAGATGTTCAAATGTGGAAGAGAGGCTCTTGGGCTTAATTTCGTAAGCTGTGTCATTTATGTGTAATATTCCTTGAAAGCCCCCAAAACAGGTGGTAAGAGCAGCCATAGATTCCGGACCTCCATCCACAAAACCAAGGTAATAGCAGTCATTCTGGACAAAAGGTCTGTCCTCAAAGAGGACACCTTGGTCGCTGTATGTGAACACAGGGAGCTGTCTGGATATCAAAAAATTCTTGGGTTTCATGGAGATAACATGTCTCTGGCCTCCAAAGTGTAAGCTATAGGATATCCAGCCTGCAAGACTCATCTCTTTACTAGAGACAGTTACCCTCAAGGGTATTACTGTCTCTGGAGGGCCTTTGTATTTAGCACACCAAGTCAGGGTCCATACAGAAGAAAAGAGCAACATCCTCAACCATACCTGAAGGAGAGTGATTCTTGCATGAACCAGAGCCTTACTCATAGCCACCATGTCCTACTAGAGAGAGTAAACAAAGAAGGATGGGATGTGGTCCTGTTCCCCATGTACTTCCTTTGTCTTGACCCTTAGTAGTCTGTCTTCCAGAAAAGTGGCTCCATCATGGCAGGAGGACTTTAAGAAGTAGGAAAAAAAGAGGCAGAGATAAGAGTAGCTTCATTATGAGTTGACTAATGTAAAAGATTTTGTGTAATTATGCCTTAGCATTTGGATTAAGACATGATTTCATATTGTGCATTTAATTTGCTCTGTTATTTTGGTGCAGTACAGTCACACTCTGGGTGTTCAAAAGAACTACAGTTGGCTACAGGTTGGTAATGTCAGATTGATAAAGACACATGGGCTTTCTGTATCATTTCCTACATATATGCACACATGAGACAATATTTACATTAGTATTTAAATCAAAACTACATTAGCACAAATGTGAGAAAGCAACTTACTTTTCCAGAAAAGTTTGATTTATAAAGAGTCAACCAAAGAATATAATTTTTTTCATTTTTAGTGATAAATTATACATACCTCTTACCAAGCTTGTATAAAATAAAGTGCATGGTCCTTAACATCCATTTTTTTCTTCCTTTTCTTTTTTTAAAATTTATTTTTATTTATTTAATATATATGAGTGCTATATCTGCATGAACACCTGCATGCCAGAAGAGGCCATCAGATCCCATTACAGATGGTTGTGAGCCACCATGTGATTGCTGGAAATTGAACTCAAGACCTCTGTAAGAGCAGGCAGTGCTCTTAACCACTGAGCCATCTCTTCAGCCTCTAACATGCACTTTCATATAACAAATCCCTACTTGTTCTGTCTTACCCAGTTCTGTCAAATTGCAGAGTCAAAGGATTGGAATCTTCTGTAATGGGTACTGGAATCTTCTGTAATGGTTATTTTCATGTGATAAATCAACGAACAATAGTATAGTCAAATTGGGTGTGCTGTTTTGATGGATGTTCCTCAAATGCATTTATATTTGATATACTTATAAAAAGAGAACACTTTTTATTAAAAATAGACTCTTTCCTCATATAATATATCCCAATTATGCCCCTCCCTAGCATAACTGTCATCTGACAGTTTATCTGAGAGGCTTCATCAAACAGCTGATGGAAAAAGAAGCAGAGACCCACAACCGAACAGGCAGAGCTCAGGGAATCTTGTGGAAGAGCAGGGAGAAGATTGAAGGACCTAGATCTAAGCCCATAAAGGCTCGCTGAGACTGATCCACCAATCAAAGAACATGCATGAGATGGATTTAGGCCCCTGCTCATATGTAACAGATATGCAGATTGGCCTTCATGTGGGACACCTAACAGCAGGAGTAGGACAGGGGCTGTCTCTGATTCTGTTGCCTGCCTTTGGATGCCTTTCCCAAAACTGGGCAGCCTTGTCTAGCTAGCTTCAGTAGAAAAGGATGCACCTAGTCCTACTGCAACTTGATATCTGCAGGAAGCGTCCATTCTCTGAGGAGAAAAGGAGAAGAGATGGAGGTGAGGTAAAAGGAAGGGACTGGGATGAGAGGAAGGAGGGGAATCTGTGATTGGATGTAAAGTAAATAAATTAAGGGAAAAAAAAGAGAAAAAGGGACTGGAATGAGAAGAGGGAGAGAAGCTGTGATGAGGATGTAAGTAAATTAGTTAATAAAAAAATAAAGAAGAAAGTATGAAAAAGTTAAAAATTGCTAAGGATCAATTTCCAAATAGATATATCTGATAAATGTTAAAAATGCCTGTACTCATTTCACATAAAAGTACAAATATTGAAAAATTTGCCTCAACAATGCTGATCTTGAGAATCTGGCAGCAGCAGAGTCCCTACAGCCCAGCTTCCAATAACAACTAGTTTTTTATTTATTATGAAAACATGAGCCAGGCAGTGGTGGTGCATGCCTTTAATCCCAGCACTTGGGAGGCAGAGGCAGGCAGATTTCTGAGTTCGAGAGTTCGAAGCTAGCCTGGTCTACAGAGTGAGTTCCAGGACAGCCAGGGCTACACAGAGAAACCCTGTCTCGAAAAAAAAAAAAACAAAAAAACAAAAAAATAACAAAACAAAGAAAGAAAGAAAACATGTTAATTTACATAAAATGTAGATAGTACAATACACACTTGAGAAATACAAATGGACAAGATAGGTCTTAATGGTCAGTGTAGTTGACTGAAACAATGGTCTTAGCAATAATCTTCACTGTAGATTTGTGAGGGAAAGATGTATTCAAGCCTCTGTCACTATGAGTACTGCACATATAAACTTTCCATTTTTATTGACAACTGAAAGCATCTACAAGGTCCATGAGATCATTCAAGTGATGATACTAAGAACTGTTGGTCTCTCTACAAACTGATGGCCCAGACTCATTGCTAAAGACATCAATACAATTTGTTAAACATGAAGAAGTTGATCTACTGCATATATAGAACCTTCATCCCTATGTTCTGGTGTCTATGGCGTGCAAAGGTTCTTTGAAGGCTGCCACAAGAGAAAAATAAGCACCAACTCAACCACAAAACTTTGAGCTACAATCTGTCCTGCCTGCAAAATATTCTAGGCTAAACACAGTGGCAATACCTTGTAGGAGTAACCAATCGATATCAGAGAACAGCTTGTGGGAGTTGACTCTCTCCTTCCACTACTCTCTTCACCTTTCTCCAAGTTTTTATTGTGTTTAGCAAGCATGTAAACAACCCTCACAACACCTGCTGTTTAATTTTACTTCTCAAAGATTATTAGCTACAGACCTGTATTTATGCTATTATCATGATATCACTTTCTACTGTACTAACCACGTTTTGCATTTGATTACAATCTACTCTTTTCTCTAGGAAGGTCTGCAATGATAATCTTGCTGCTTGACCATCTTACAAGTTCTCATCATCATCTCTCCTGTTTACATACAAACTTTCGACTCCATCAGTTCACCAGCCACTGATCAAATTAGTCAACATACGCAGCTTCGTTGAGTTTTCTAGCTTTAGACATTCTTAGACTACTATGACAGTTTTTCTGGGAATATGAATTACCAAATCCTTTGAGAATGTTAGAGAAGATGAGGAAACACAAAATTCAAGAGTCTTCATCCCACAGTATAGTCATGAAGAAACATATTTTTCCCCAAATAGCCTCATAGTAATAACTTATAATTTGTTTTCCACAGTACTTCTTAAGTTTATTATTTTACACATTCTCAACAATGTGCAGGACTCTGAAAATTGCTGATTTTTTTCAAATTGTTACTATTGAACTTGCATCATAGTGTTTTAAATAAGAAAAATAATGTGTCTTTTAATACTTCTTAAGCACCAGGTACAATATTTTTCCAAGTCTTTGGTTTTTTGATGCACATAAGCGGCAGGAGATTTTTGGGAGGAAGATTTTATAAAAGGAACAAGAAGTCTTCAGTGCTTGGTGAAAGTAACCAGGTAGGACAGGAAAATTCCTTTATGACTTGCTCAGAACCCCACATAAGAATGCAAAGTCAATAGAAGGAATCTTTGAGGATAATGTGTTAAAAACTATAAGTAAAATCTGACATGCTGATACTCTGTTCATATCTATATTGATATATATGTATGTATACATATATGTATATATGTATATGTGTGTATATATACATATATGTATATATATGTGTGTATATACACACACACATATATGTTATATATGTATACACACACACACACATATATATATATATTGAATACAGGTATATTGGGCTATGAGTTTATATATGTTTATGATGGAAAGGATGTTTTACCAATGATATTGTTGACATATGTAACCCTTACAAAACTACCACAATTCATTCCTAAGACCTCACCTTGCAAACAGGTCACTGGCAAAGAAACTTGAAAGTTCATCCAGTTTTCTTATATCTTACATTATTTTAAACAATGACCACAGAGGCTGCAGGTTCTGAAGGATTGTGACATTTTCAGCAAAAGAATGTGCAGAAGAGGCTCAGTGGGGACAGGTGTTTGTGTCTAAGCCTGATCATCTACATTTGACCCTAGAAACCTATAGTAGAAAGAGAGAACCAATTCTTGCAAGTTGTTCTCTGACTTCCACACCCATCCTCTGCCACCCATCCCATATCTCTCTCTGTCTCTGTCTGTCTCTCTGTCTGTCTCTCTGTCTCTCTGTCTCTCACTGTCTCTCTGTCTTCCTGTCTCTCTGTCTCTCTCTCACACACACACACGCACACACACATACAGAATCATAAACACATACCTATGATGATGATGGTGGTGGTGGTGATGATGGTGGTGATGGAAATAAGTTTAAAAGAACCTGTACTGCCATATTAATATAGAACTCTTAACATTGTCTCCAGCATCTCCTATTCCAAGTTTCCTTAAACTCATCAGTCTGTGTGTCTTAATCATCACCTAGCCCTCACCATCATTTACAATCTACTTAAATATTTTATAAACTGTGAATAATAACACATTAAAAACAGATTATCCCAACCAAATAAAGGCAGAGAAATTAGAAATAGTAAGAGTCACTTGTCCTTCCCAAGATCTGAGCAACTAGAAAAGAAAGTGTGTGTGTGTGTGTGTGTGTGTGTTCATGAACTTCTGTCCTTTTGACCTAACCTCTTGAGTGACTTACCAGGAGATGTAGTGATAATATCTTTGTGTGGTCTTATTCATGACACATTTGTAAGAACTATTTTATAAGCAAAGATTCTACATGAGAACTCACATGACAAGTAGAACATAAATTCTCTCTTCCTTTGTCTCTCATTGGATTAAGTTCTAGATCCAGTTGCTTAGCAATAAGAGCCTCTTAGAGGGGGGTAGATAGAGGTTACATCCACAGAGAAGAAGGAGGAGGGGCGAGGGGATTGGGGGTTCCGAGGGGGTGGTGGGGGATGGGGTAAGGGGACAACATAGGAAATGTAAATAAATCATCCAATAAAAAAATAAATAAATATTGCATTTGCTTGAACAACAAAAAAAAAAAGAGCCTCTTAGAATATAAGACCATC